GTGAAGCGGATTAGGACAGACCGGGGTGGTGAGTTCCTTGGAGCTGAAATGACGGCCTGGCTCAAGAAGCAGGGCATCCAGAGAGAGCTGACCACGGCTTATACCCCACAGTCCAATGGTATAGCAGAACGGGCAAACCGGACCATTCTGGAGACAGCTAGGGCGCTGCTCATAGAATCTGGGCTGAGCAATTCTATGTGGCCTCATGCTGTCCGGCACGCCACTGTCGCTAGGAACAGGGTGCTCACCAAGGTTGGGGATGACTCGTGGGTGCCGTTGGAGAGGTGGCTTGGGAGGAAGCCGCCGGTGGACATGCTGAGGGTGTTCGGTTGCATGGCAGTTGCCCACGTCCCCAAGACCTACCGCAGTAAGTTGGGGGCGAGTGCAATCTGGTGTGTGCATTTGGGGCTGGCTGCTGAGAGCAAGGGATGGCTGCTGTGGGAACCATCCAAGGGTGTGTTGTTTGACAGCAGAGATGTGAAATTCATTGAGGGCATGATGTATGGGAGCTGGGAGAAACAGCCGGAGGCAAGGGTGTCCCAGCAGATGGAGCAGATCACCATGCAGCTGGACCTGACTCCTAGTGTGTGGGAGGAGGGAGAGGAGGCAGCTGCTGGAAATGGTGATGGAGAGAAGGTACAGGAGGCATCTGCTGGTGGAGAAAATGGTGTGGAAACTGGCGGCAGCACTAGTGGAGCTGCTGGACCCGAGGGAGGAGAGAAGCAGCAGGGAAAAACTAAGAAGCCGAAGGGTGTCGTTATGAAGGGATGGGAGACACCCGTCTCCAGGCCAGGACGTACCCGTATGGCTACTAAGAAGCTGACTGCAGGAACTGATGCAGCAGAGCAGCAGCTAGGGACCGAAGAGGCATTGCTGATTCTACCTCATGGCTATGACCCGGATGAGGAGGATGAGCCTGCGTACTGTTTTCTTGCCCCTGCACCAGAGGAACCAGCTAGCATGGAGGAGGCATTAGCTGGACCAGATAGGGACAAGTGGCTGGCTTCTAGGGATGCTGAGTACCAGAGTCTGCTGGAGAATAGGACATGGGATCTGGTGGTGCTGCCTGATGGGAAGAAAGCGATACAATGCAAGTGGGTGCTGAGGATCAAGACCGATGACAAGGGGCAGGTCACCATCTACAAGAGTAGGCTGGTGGCGAAGGGGTTTATGCAGAAGGAGAAGCAGGACTTCAACGAGATCTTTGCTCCCACTGCCAAACCCCCTACCCTCCGTGTCTTGTTGGCAGATGCAGCTGTTAGTGGGAAATTCATCATTCAGATGGATATTTCAACGGCATTCCTGAATGGGATTTTAGAGGAGGATGTGTACATGACGCAGCCGCCTGGGTATGAGGATGGTACGGGCAGGGTGTGCAAGCTCAACAAGTCCATCTACGGCTTGAAGCAGGCGCCACGCTGCTGGTACCAGAAGTTGGCAACTGTTTTAGAGGAGATGGGATTCAGGACCAGCAGCTGTGATGAGAGCCTCTTTCTCAAGGGCGAGGGGGAGAAGCTGGTGCTGTTTCTGGTCTATGTGGACGACATTCTTCTCTTCAGCAGCAGCATGAAGGAGATCCAGAAAGTGCAGCAGCAACTGATGGAAAACTTCAAGTGCAAGAACCTTGGGGAGGTAAAGTACTACCTCGGGATGCACGTGGAGAGGGATCCAGATCACAGGTGGTTGAAGCTGCACCAGGAGAAGTTCATCAAGGAGCTGGGGGAGAAGTATGGGATTGAGAATGAGCGCAAGGTTGCAACTCCCCTGCCAGCAGAATTCAAGCTTGTGAAGGCTGCAGAGGATGAAGGGGTTGAAGCTGAAGAGCAGCAGCAATTTCAGTCCTTGGTGGGCAGCCTCTTGTACGCAGCAGTTCACACGAGGCCCGACATCTCTTTCTCGGTTGGGCAGCTGGCTAGGGTGGTGCAGAATCCATCAGAGGAGCAGGTGGATGCAGCTGAGCGTGTGGTGAAGTACCTGAACTCTCACCCAAGCATTGGAGTTCAATACTCCGCATCTGCACAGGTGAAGCAGAAAGGGGTGGAGGTGCTGAAAGAGAAGGGGGAGAGGCTTGGAGAAGGCAAGCTATTTCTCACTTGCTTTACCGATGCTACATGGGCTTCTGAGAAGGAGGATTCCTCATCTGTAGGAGGATACATCTGCGTAGTTGGGGGAGGACCTGTTAGTTGGAGGTCCAAGAAGCAGACGGAGACAGCACTCTCTTCCGTAGAATCAGAGTACATGGCGATGTTCCATGGGGTGAAGGAGGTGATTTGGCTGAGGAGGCTGTTAGAGGAGATTGGCCAGGAGCAGAAAGTTGCTACGCCGCTGTTTTGTGATAGCAAGGGGGCTCTTGGGATGGCCAGGAACGCTGTGCTTCATGGCCTGAACAAGCACATGCGTATCAAGTGGCACTGGCTGCGTAAGGAGGTGAAGAGGGGGACGGTGAATCCAATCTACATCAAGACTCACCAGCAGCCAGCAGACTTTCTCACCAAGAGGCTTGCGGATGAGCCTCATTGGCGTTGTGTGCGCATGAGTGGAATGAGCATGAACTAGCATGGAATGATGGGGATGCAGCCGGCAGGCTGAGGGGGAGTGTGTTGGGTGCAAATTTACATTGCACGACATCCTGCCGTCTGTTTGTACGAGTATGCGTGTGCGAATGCATTTGGGTGTGAATAGAATGTTCGTGTGTTTGTTTGCTTTCGCATTTTTTCGCTTGATGCATTTGCAGGTACTCGCGCAATGTGCGCTTCGGCACAACATTGTACGCGCTATGAACAGTGCAAGCAAAAAGGACGAGCTCGCAAAGGAACCCAAGATGGAAGCTTTGCAGTTCGGTTGAGTTGATTGCGCAGATTCAGTTCTATCCAACTCGAAATTGTACTGTTTTGTTTGGTTAACTATAGTGTAGCAGGGAAGGCACTATAGGGGTACAATTTAGGTGAAGGTTGGATGTTGTTTGTCTGTATCTGCATGCTACAAGGCCAGGGGAAACCAGCGGAACCAGCATTTGGCTGGTTAGGCAAAGACAAAACAGGTTCTGTTTTTAGAACCTGAACCTGGTTGTTGTTTTCCCAGGTTGGAAAAACAGAACCAGAGGTTGTTTACCAACCTACCACCTGCTATTTTGTCCAGCCAGGTTGGTTCTGTTGCTTGGAATTATTTGGGATCATCCCTGGTTGTTCCCAGGTTGATTCCCAAGGTCCTTGCTAGCTAGAACTATTTAATCCTTCTCTGTTTGTACCTGAATATAGTCAAATTGATTCAAGCGAATTCCTTCCTCGCTGGAATTTCGTTTCTGCGCTATTCGACGGCGGAATGCTACCCGAGTCAACGCTAGTATGCTAGCACTCCAACGCTAGGCAAACGCTGTCCGAGCCATAACTTAGTAATGGCAGAACTTTTTGCGAGGCAACTTGGCTCATTTTAAAGCTCTTGGAGCGAGCTTCGATATAGCGAATTCTCAGCTTAATCCGACCGACGGTCTGCACGGCACGCTGCGCGACGTTCAAGGTACTCTTGCTGTTTTGACTAAGTCCTTCTTGATCCCTCTCTCTACAAACTCGGACCCGAGGATAGGGGCTGGTCTTGTACCAGGCACCCAGGGACCCTTGGAGGTGACCCCGAGGAGAGGTTTTAAGTTTGATTAAGTCCTAATAGCTTGAGTTTATTAGGCCCTTACATGCGTGTGCGAGTGCGTGTGCGAATGCATTTGTGTGTGAATGGTGTGTTCGTGTGTTTTGTTTGCTTTCACAATTTTCGATTGAAACACTTGCAGGTACTCGCGCAATGTGCGCTTCGGCACAACATTGTACGCGCTAAGGAACCCAAGATGGAAGCTTTGCAGTTCGGTTGAATTGATTGCGCAGATTCAGTTCTATCCAACTCGAAATTGTACTGTTTTGTTTGGTTGACTATAGTGTAGCAGGGCAGGCACTATAGGGGTACAATTTAGGTGAAGGTTGGACGTTGTTTGTCTGTATCTGCATGCTACAAGGCCAGGGGAAACCAACATAACCAGCATTTGGCTGGTTGGGCAAAGACAAAACAGGTTATGTTTTTAGAACCTGAACCTGGTTGTTGTTTTCCCAGGTTGGAAAAACAGAACCAGAGGTTGTTTACCAACCTACCATCTGCTATTTTGTCCAGCCAGGTTGATTCTGTTGCTTGGAATTATTTGGGATCATCCCTGGTTGTTCCCAGGTTGATTCCCAAGGTCCTTGCTAGCTAGAACTATTTATTCCTTCACTGTTTGTACCTGTATATAGTCAATTGATTCAAGCGAATTCCTTCCTTGCTGGAATTTCGTTCTCTACGCGGTTCAACGGCGTGATGCTACCCAAGTCAACGTTAGTACGCTAGCACTCTAACGCTAGAGAAACGCTGCTCGAGCCATAACTTTGTAATGGCAGAACTTTTCGCGAGGCAACTTGGCTTATTTTAAAGCTCTTGGAGCGAGCTTCGATATATAAAATTTTCAGCTTAATCCGATCGACGGTCTGCACGGCACGCTGCGCGACGTTCAAGGTACTCTTGCTGTTTTGACTAAGTCCCTCTTGATCCCTCTCTCTACAAACTCGGACCCGATGATAGGGGCTGGTCTTGTACCAGGCACCCAGGGACCCTTGGAGATGACCCCGAGGAGAGGTATTAAGTTTGATTAAGTCCTAATAGCTTGAGTTTATTAGGCCCTTACACCAACATCTCGCAGCATGTTTTCGAGTGCTTGATGGAAATTCTCGTTGTTGTGTTGTGAAATCATGGTTGAAGTGAACATCCAGTTTTCGATCTATCCTCTGCTGTAGTTGAAAGCTATTGGAGGAAGGCGATTATTGAACCAAACAACCAGCGTCGGACACATGCGCATGGATGCGAACAAACGTTAGATAGATGTGATGGAAAGAGCAGAGTAGACACATTAATACCAAACACAAGCATACTGGGAAGCTTGCTGTTGTACATGTTGTCGAGCTTAGCCAGCCACCGTTTGAAATACTCTACTCATCTTGCATCGTCTCGTACGTAGGAGGCAAAGCAAAACAGCTCGTCCCCTCGAGATGCTCCAGGTCCCTCATGTGCCACTTTAGCTCCTTGTCGACAGCACGGGCGAACTTCAATGAGAGCTCGTAACACGCCGTAACATCGCCGTCCGTCTCTTGCCCTTCTAGTTCCTTCTCATGCAGCGTGTAGGTGAAGGACACGGGGTTGCCGTTACTGTCCACTCCCTCTGCCCGCATCTCCCGCTTGTTCATCTTTTGATGGCGCTGAATGAACTCCTTCAGTGTCATCTTCTCCCCGCTGCCGAAATGATGATCTGGTTGCATGTTGAGGTACCGGTTCTTCAATCGCATTATTGTGTGCTGCACGAGGCGCGCCACGAGTGTGATGTCTGCAAAGGCAGTAGACATCATCGAGTTAGCGTACATTAAAACTACCATACCATGCAATGCAAATTTCAATCATGCTTACCTGCCATTGCTGGAACCGTTGGTTGAGTTGATTCAACCCCCATCAGCACATCACCAGTGAAACTTGAATGAGGTCGCAATCTCGTACAGGTCTGGCTGGTACTCCTTCAGCACCACAATCACAACAGGTAGGATTTCGAGGAGGCATTGAACGGCCTCACCACGTGAAAGCCAGCGTACTGCATGTATGCCTTATGCCTCGAGGTTTGCCTACCCTACTGAATCTTCTGAAACTTGTCATACATCACGTTGGACTTCCCGATTAGCTATGCGAACCCACGGATGACATGATCGACCATGAACAGCTCGGAAACTGCATGCGCAGCATCGCGGGCTGCTAAAGTCTCCCTGCCAAGGAAAACAAATAAACAGCATGAGTCAGAATGTTGACTTAAGAACCAGAGTCAAGCGGTAGAAGTGTGGGAAAACACTTTCCGATGTGCGACACAGTGCGTTGAGGCAAGGTGTGGCATCCGCATGAGCAGACAGGCGACTATACCGTTGTTCTTCCCCACCATGACATTGGCGCCGTCCGTTGAAATCCCTGTGATTTTTTTTAGATCTAGTCCAATTCCCGTCAAGTACTGCACCACAGCAGACGTAAGAGAGGCGGCATCAGTGCAGTCAATAGTGATGAGCGTAAGAAACTCATTCACCACAGCAGTGCCTCTGAAAAAAGTAGCGTAGAGTATGAGGTGTTTCCCATGGATTCGGTCTGTGCTCTCACGGAGGGATATGCCAATCCATGGTGACTCCAGCAAGTGCAAGCGCTGTGCTTCTTGCAGGGATGGCCCGGAGGTTGTCTTTGAAGCCATATCTGCACACCACAACATGAGATAATCAATGTCAGGACCAGTAAACAACAACCAACGAAACACCCGTTACTATTACATGCGCTTACTCCGTGTAGTAGACGCCATAGCCGCCACTGTTGGGAGGTCGGAAAGACATTCCTTAGCCAAAAACCAGCAGAGCGGGCACGGGGGCATCCGCCTTGCAGACGAACAGGGTGATGTGAAGAATACGAATCAAGTTCACGCCGGACAGGATCGCCGTCAACCCCTTGCTGGCCGGCCGCCACGACCTCCTCCCGTGGAAGGAGGAAATCGAGCCTCAGTTGGAGAAGGCTGGCTTGATGTGCTTCGCCGAAGGCAGCATGGAGATGCCGCCTACGAGCAACGCCCAGCTGCGCGCGGAGTTCCGTGCTGTGCACCTGCTGAATTTGACGGTCATTTCGCGGTGCTGCTCGCCCGACGTGCAGATCGCCCTGGAGTCGTGCAGGAGCTACTTGGACGCCGGCCAGCAAGCGTGGCAGTTCATCACGTCGAAGTACCAGATCACCGATAACCTGTACATTGGCCAGTTGGAGGAGCATATGACGCACCTGCGGATGAGCAGGAGACGGTGACCGACTACTGCAACCGGGCTCGGCGACTTCTCGCCGTCATGTGTATGACCGGCGTGCTGTATTCGACGACGTCCAAAGTCACGCACGTCCTAAAGGGGCTCCCGAGTGGTTACAACTTTATGAAGCGGCTGATGGTGGTTCTGTGCACACGGGAGTCGCTCAACGAGGACTCCCTGACCTCCTATATCCTCAGGGACGAGGCGATGCAGGAGGCCGACAGGTCCACGGAGCTCATGTCGCAGGCGATCTACGTCACCCCGACAAAGCAAGGAAGTCAACCGGGGCAGCGTGGCCAGCCTGGCGGCGGTGGAAGCGGAGGTGGGAAGCCGGCGAAGGATGCTGACAATAAGAAGTCGGCCAAGGACAGCGGTCATAGAGGACGAAGTCGACTTCGGGAGTGTTGGCTGTGTCACAGCCCCGACCAACTCTCCTTCGAGTGCCCCGACCGCAGTGACTCCGACGACGACGACACCGAGGGAGGCCGAGGAAGGTCGACAGGGCGCCGTCATCGTCAAGAGAGTAAGCCGTGCAAAGAGTAGCAGTCGACCAAGTCGTCGACCTCGGCGAAGGACGCCGACTCCTCCTCAGGAAGCAAAGGGCGAGGCAACAATGAGGCGTCATGCTCGCTAGTCCGCGTCGTGGAGCCGACCGTCTCCCTGGTGCCGGAGGCTGGCGGAGACTTCCAGGCGATGGCGGCAGCTGTGCAGGCAAACCCGGCGGTGGTCCTGCTCGACAGCGGCTGCTCGCACCACCCGATGGAGATGGAGGTCTTCGTCGACTTGAAGCCGAGCGGCGACTTCAAGCATGTGTGGGGCTTCAATGGGGCGCTGCAGGACGTTCACGGCCGTGGCACAATCGCTCTGCAAGGGGAGGTCGGGAAGCAGGTGCTCATCCCGGGCGTGAAGGCGAACTTGTTGTCAGCCGGCCAGCTGAAGGAGAGCGGCATCAAGCTGAAGGACGACGGCGACGGGATGCTGCTCATCTCGGTGGCAGGGGACGTCCGCGGTCGAGCAACCTACACCGGCCGGATCCTCTGCACTGACCTGCGTCCCTGCTCAGCGAAGTCGATGACGGCCACGACGGAGGTGGTGGCCCTGCGGGCGATAGTCTCGGCGACGAAGTCGACGCTGGCGCGGTGGCAAGCCAAGCTTGTACACGTCGGCGTTGACACCATCACAAACTCGGCGAAGCAAAAGGTCGCCACCGGTCTGGACATCAAACCGTCGATCGGCACCGACTCTCCGCGTGTCTCGTGCGTCGGCGGAAAGCTGGCCGTCGTGCACATCGGCCTGTGCGTTCCGGGTGGCTGCCAAGGAGTTGGACGAGCTGCGGGAGTTCGAGACGTGGCTGATGGTTGTTGAGCTGCAGGCAAAGAAGTCGGTGCTGATGCTGTGCTCTGACCCGGGAGGGGAGTTCCTCGGGAAGAAGTTAACCGCCTTCGTGGATGGCAAGGGGATCGTCCACGACTTGACCTGCCCTTACACCCAGCGGCAGAATGGCATGGCGGAGCGGGAGATGAGGACGGTGGTGGAGTCGATGCGGACGATGCTGCTGCACATACGCGTCCAGCACCACTGGTGGCACCTCGCTCTGCGGCAGGCTGTCTAGGTCTGCAACTACCTTGAGAGGTCGGCGTGGGAGAGAATCCGCCAACGACAGGGGAGCAGCGGGTGGAGATGAAGCAACCGACTTTGCTGAAGTCGGTAAAGAAGGAGTCCACAAAGGAGCAGCAGACAGGGGAGCAGCCAGCAGTGAAGCCGACTAAGGAGCATTCGGCGACCGGACAATCGGCAGGGAAGCTGATGGCAGGGGAGAAGTCGGCGGGGCCGCCGATTGTAATGCAGCAGGACGTCGAGGGCAGCGACGCCGGTGACGATGGAGGGGAGCAGTTGGGCACTGAGAAGTCCACCGACGGTGATGTAATGGAGGTTCAGCCTGGACCACGGCGTTCGGGCAGAGCCCAGAGGCCGCCTGACTTCCTGTCCTACCACGCGTGCTTGCTGCCGGCTGCCTACACCACGCAGTACGACAACGACGACGACGACGACGCCGACGACGACGCCTTGTCGGAGCTCGACCCCGACATGCACGCCGATCCCGAGCACCGTTGGGACATCGCGACGATGACGGTAAAGGAGTCACTAGCGAGTTGGAAGCGCAAGGCGGTGAAGACCGCCATGGACGAGGAAATCCGAAGTCTTGTCGGCATGAGCACGTGGGTGCTGGTCGGGCGGCTCCTCGGGATGGACATTATGAAAAACTGGTGGGTGCTCATGAAGAAGTTCCGCATCGACGACACTGTTGAGTGCGAGAAGGCGAGGCTGGTCGTGAAGGGACGAAGGTGTATGGCACCAACTACGACGAGGCGTACGCGCCGGTGAGCATCGTCACCGTCCTCGACCTCAACCTGATGCAGCTCGACATGAAGAACGCCTTCCTGCAGAGGAAGCCCGACAGGGTGCTGTACATGTACCAGCCGGACTACTACAACGACGGGACCGGCCGGGTGTGCAAGCTGTTGAAGAGCCTGTACGGGCTGAAGCAGTCACCGCTGTTTTAATACAAGGCGCTCGACGACGTGCTGATGGACGCTGGCAGGAAGAAGATCCAGGTCGACCAAGTGCTCTACTTCAAGGTCGGCAGCGACGGAGTGGCCTGCTGGGTGCTGGTCTACGTCGACGACCTGCTCGCCGCCAGCAGCAGCACAGCGATGCTGAAGGAGCTGAAGGAGCTGTTGTAGCCCTCTTTTGAGCTACGCGAGATCTCGCCGGTGGGGAAGTACCTCGGGCTGGAGGTCATGCGCGACAGGTGTGCGAGGAAGCTGTGGCTGTACCAGCAAGGCTACGCCGACAAGCTGCGCAGGCGGTTCATCGACGAGGAGCAGACTGGGCACACCCCGAAAACTCCTGTCTCCGTCAACGCCTACGCTGAGCTGATGTTCGACGATGAGGAGGCACAAGAGCACCAGGAGGAGGAGTACCGGCAGAAGGTTGGCTCGCTGCAGTTCGCGGCGACGACGATAAGGCGGGACATCGCCTTCACCTACAGCAAGCTGTGGAGCGGCCTCACGGTGAGGAGCGACCAGCACTGGCGCGAGGTTGACCGCTGCCTTGCCTACCTCGCGAATACACTTGACACCGCCCAGGAGTTTGGCGGTGGACCTGCGTCGCTGAAGCAGGTCGGCTATGTGGACGCCGACGACGCCAGCGACAAGCAGAACCGGACGAGCACAGGCGGCTACGTGTTCGTCTACGGAGGAGCCGCAGTCTCCTGGTCGAGCCAGCGCATCAAGTGCACGACGTTGTCGTGAATCGAGTCGGAGTACGTGGTAGCCACCAAAGCTGGCAAGGAGGGACGCCGCCTTCGCTTCCTTCCGGCAGCTGGACGCCAGGACGCCGACCGTTCTTCGGGTGGAGAACAAGTCGGCTATCACGGTCGCTGAGGGCATGGGGTTGACAGGCAACCTCAAGCACATGGAGCGGCGACAGGCTGCAGCACATGGTGGAGCGAGGAAAGTTTTTGCTGAAGTACATCCCGACCGTTGAGCAACCAGCCAACTTCTTAACGAAGGCGCTGCACTATCCGGCCTTCAACCGGAGCTCCGCCGCAATCGGCCAAGTGCGACTGGCCGATGTTGGCGATGATGACGTCAACGTGCTAGGTGTCATGCCCTCTTGCATGGCTGGTGCGGTGACCGGCGTGCTGTGTGTTGTGTGCACGCCGACGAGCTATTCTCCGAGTTGTGCTGCCGAGTGGGCTGAAGGCCCAAGCGTGAACGCGACAAGGAAGTGTCAACGGGAGTTGTGGTTGGGCCCGTCCTTGCTTGGGCGGAGCTGACTTTGTGGTCGAGTGTGCGGGAGGTGCAGCCGACCTGCAGCAGTGGGCGAGCTGGTCATTGCAATGGCGTCGCCTTTGGGAGGGCGCCGAGGTCGACTAGGGAGGTCGGCCATTGGAGGGACTTGGTCACACCGATTTGGGGAAGTGGACATGGCGTGGTCGGCTGACAGCTGTGCTGGTCGACCTGGAGCTGGTCGACACGGAAAATGGTCGACCTGGGGCTGGTCGACCAGGAGTGTGGTCAACCTATGGCAAACGACCAGGGGTGTGGTCGAATGGAGGTGGTCGTCGACTTGGGTGGTCGACGGGCATGAAGGAGCAGCTGGTCGACGTGGTTGCCCGGTCGACCAGGTTATCCGGGCGACGGGGTAGTGCGGAAGAGCGTGACAGTCGCTCAGGTGGTCTTGGCGAGGCTGACCTCGGAAGTGGTATCCCGAGGTCGACGTGGCTGATATGGTGAGTCGTCAGCACGAGGATGATTTGGTGCCTTCGCTGTGCAGGTGACAAATCACAGCACGCCAATCATCTGCGAGCACCTGCGAAGCGGGTGCGCTGTTGTCCTGCGGGTGCAACGCTGTGCAGCCGCCTTGCTGCAGCATTGGCACGCCATCGACTTGCAGCGTTGGCAGGCCGCGACTTTGCTATGCTGAAGCGCGGTTGACCATGTCGTGCTGGAACGCGGTCGATTGTGCTGCGCTGGCAGTCAACCTGCATGCTTGCTAGCATCTCATGTAGTCTTGCTTG